TAGAGTTTGAGAATTGAGCTCCCTCTGTTTTAATGTTGAATGAAGTCCTCTAAAGATTATCTGAACACTGACTCCCCTTAACTATAGCTTGTTTTAACAAAAGAGTTTTGGAGAACCACATATATCCCTAGTGCTCTTACCTAAAACACCTGCATCTCAGTGCCACAGTGTCATCTTAACATTTGAATCAATTTGAATACAGAAACTCCATATTTCCATAAGGTATTAAATTTAAACATCACTCTTTTCTTTTTAAACAAAATAATTTGGTCTTACGGACCATTTTTAAAGTGACAAAGTATAAAGATTTTCTCTATCCATTTATCCTATGATGGAGGGAAGTAAAATGGAGATTGAATTGGGAGGTAAGGTATTAATCAACTGTGCAGCTCTAGAAAGGTAACAAATTGGGGGCCTATTTTATTGTCCGCCAGGGAGTGGTAGATACAGGCTCATCCCCAGGTCGTTTTTAGCTCTACCATTCTACCATGTTATAGGCCGGGACTAAGTCTTGACACAGCTCTGTAATTCCCCTCTCCCACCTGGGTCTAGAAAAGTCAGTCCCTGGTGCTCTCAGTAACTATAGGATGAATAGATGTGCATATTCATTATCCAACCCCCCTGTACACACACAGAGGGTATTACAAAAAATTAACATATACTCAGGAGCTCTTCAAACCATTCAAGGTCAACATCTGCACCCACACCATAAATCTCAGACATCATTGCTGTTCAACAGAGTCCTCCCTAATCTTCTGCCCAGATCTCCTCGGCTCTATCCATACCCTGCCTCACCAGTGACCAAATCAAGAGTGAAATCTGTGGTGGAAAATGAAACACGGGATTCTATATTTTCAAAAGTGAAATTTAGCATAGAATCACATTTCATTAGTAGAAACTTCTCTCAGAACCTATCGCTGTTGTTTTGCCCCTTTCCAAGTTAATGCTCCCCATTAAAAAGAGTTTGAAAACAAATGTTTCTCTTCCCTTTTCTGAATTTGCTACCTATTGGGCCTTGTTTCTCATGCAGCCAATGAGCAGAGGCTAGAAAGACATTGAGGTGACAGCCCCCAACCCCGTGCCTCCTTTGTACCTGGCCCTCACCTGGCCAGCAGGGTCATTGGTCTACAATAAGGGCTTGAATTTCACTCTAAGGGTCTTGATGTCACCATTCTCAGGATTTATGCGGATTTTCTTTCTCCTTTTTGAGTTTAAAAGTTACTTTTTAAAGCAGAATTTCACTTGGGTAGGATAATACCGGTAAATACCAGGGATTAAATACAAATATCATAAACATGATCTTTCTGACACACTATGTTAAGAGATCCCATCATTTAAAAAAGTCTCCTTGGAAACAATCCAATTAAAAAATGGGTAAAGGACTAAAACAGACATTTCTCTAGAGAAGACATACAAATGGCCAATAGGCACATGAAAAGACACGCAACTTCATTAATCCTCAGGGAAATGCAAATTGAAACCAAAAAGAGATACCAATTCACACCCACTGGGATAGTTACCATTAAAAACAAACAAACAAACAAAGGACCCCAGGAAACAACTGGTGTTGTGAGGGTGTGAAGAAACTAGAACTCTTGTGCACTGCTGCGGAAATATAAAATGGTGCAGCTGCTCTGGAAAATAGGATGGCTATTTTTCAAAAAAATTAAACTGAGTTACCATATGATACAGTGGTTACAGTTCTGGGTACCCAAAAAGAAATGAAGCAGGGACTCCAACAGATATTTGTACTCCCATGATCATAGCAGTGTTATCCATAGTAGCTAAGATGTGGAAGCCACCCAAGTGTCCATCAACAGATGAATGCATAAACAAATGTAGTACATACATATAATGGATCACTATTCAGCCTAACAAAGGAAATTCCAACACGTGCTATTACATGGAAGCATGTTAAATTAATTAACTCTAATTAATTCAAATTTAGTTAATTAATTAATTCTGAAGTGAAATAAGCCAGTCGCAAAAGGACAACTACTGTATGATTCCACTTATATGAGGAACTAGAGTAGTCAGATATATAGACATTAGGTAGAATGATGGTTGCCAGGGGCTGGCGGGGAGGAGGGAATGCGGAGTTAGTGTTTAATGGGAACAGAGTTTTGGTTTGAGAAGATGCAAAATCTCTGGAGATGGATGGTGGCGATGGCTGCACAACGATGTCAATATACTTAAAGCCACAGAACACTACACTTAGAAATGGTTAAAATGGGAAATTTTATGTTGTATATATTTTACTACAATTAAAAAAATATGTCTCCTGGAACCCTTGAGGGAGTGGCAAAGATCAAGAACATGCTAACTTTTCCTGCAAGCCATGCAAGAGAAAAAAATGACATCTGAGTACTTACTACGTACCAGGCAGGCACTCACATATCCATACACAAAAGCAAAAATTTAAAAAATTAAAAATAAAAAAAAACACAAAAAAATACCCTGATTATGTACTATTAACCCCTCTATACAGCAAAGAAACCAACATTCATAAGTTAATGTACCAGGTCAAGGAGTAAGAAGCAGCGCTAGGGTTCAAAGGCAGATTTGTCTGATTCTCAAAGCCTATGTTCTTTTCGCTCCACGATGCTGTTTTCTTCCACCCTCAGTTGTCTTTTGAAGAGGCTCTGTGCTTTGACTCTAGAGCTTTTATACATAAAAGTTGGGCCTGCCTTGTGAAATAGGCTAAAAAAGTCAGTCAACCAAATGCATTCACTCTGTGTCTACCATGAGGCCCACAACTGGCCAAGAAATAATGGAGTCATGTTTCCATTCTGCCATTGACCGTATGGCAGGGGAAAAAACACACACACACATACAGTTAAAATTTCAGTGTTGGCTGACTCCCTCAAAAGCCACTGAATCCTCTGGAGAAAAGCAGTATGTCTTAAATATTCCATACACCAAGAGTAAGTGGAAATAGTCCCATTCTACAGGAGAGGAGCATTTTCACCTTTCTCTTAAACCTCCTACCATCATAGGTAGTGATTTGCTGTTACTCACTCATGTGTGCTTCAAGCTGGAATGTAACAATTAAGGGAATGTTTCAGGCTGTGCAGAAAACAGGCATCTCTTAGATGTTTTCTGAAAGAGAGCAGGGAGCCTCTGGACGCCCCTGTGCCTATGAGCCAAGGTTTCATTTTCTTACTCTTTTGTGAAACACACAGAGAGGAGTAAGGCAGATTGTCCACACATCCCCACACATAGCAGGGTGTTGGCATTATCCAGTGAATCCAGACTGTAGATGAGTAAGTACCAGAGGGTGAGCCCCATCCTCATTCACACAGCCCAGATTCCCAACTTGCCATTTCATTTCATGATAGGCAGTGTGATCATGGAGCTGCAGTTAGGGGCATCCTGAATCCAAGAGCTACCTAAGAGCTCCTCTCTGAGAAGATGATCTTTACATTTTTCACACCACGAGACAAACAGGAACTGGATCCGTGGAGTATGCGGCGTGACTTGTTTTGCCCGCAGATTTGATTAAATTCAATGGATCTGTCAGGGGAGCGCCACTGTTTCAACACCAGCAATATTTCCCCTCTTAGTCATCGTTCAGGTTTGGTTTCATAAGTAAGCTCAGAAAACTAGACATTTTTTCCCTTTAGTACCCAAAGATTCTTATCTCTGAAAATGTGCTGCTACCCCATACATTTTGAGAAGCCAAATTAATTTCATAGAGATAGCATTGAAAAAAAAACAAAAACAAAAAACTATCGCTCTTCAAATTGAGAATGATGATAAATGAGGAGGCATATACACTCTCCGTGCATAGTGTTTAAAACATACATTTTAAGAATTTATGGGTGTCTAAATACAACCTTTTTATTATGTTTACTCTGCTAAAAGCAGTTCTTTCCTTTGAAAATGTATCTCCTTTCATTCTAAAAATGCAAGACAAAATCTTTCATCAGTGATCATTTATGGCTTAACCACACTTTCTGTTGGAGACAAAAGCTTAATTTTTTAAATCATGCTACGCTAGGATATTAAACTCCTTCTCCTACGTATCCTGCCAAAGGAATCTCACAATCTCATTCCTAATCCGTTAGACCGGTTTACCGCACTTTTACGTATCATTCACAAATATGAACAAGCCACAGCCACAGGCTCTCAATAAGAGGACCCATTGCTTAAGAAAATCACACAATAAAAATCATGTTCTGATTTTACTATTTTGTCTATCTGTAGACTATGCAGGTAAGGAAACAACCCGGCAGCACTTTTACATGTTGTCTCTTACTGAGGCTAATAAGCACCTTGACATAGAGACGAATAAAATCTCTGTAAACATGAAATCCATATATGTATGGGTATCTGAGTCTAGACAAGTTAAACCTGCCACACTCCTCTGAGAAAGGATGCAACTTTAGGATACAGCCTATTGGCAAATGGTAGCTCTTTCTGAGGTTATCCTGAAAGCAGCTGCACAGAGCAGAGGGAGGAAGACATCGTTTTTAATGGTAAATACTGCCCCTCACATATGCAATTGCAGCCTTTGTTGGCAAATTCTGAGTACAAAAGGAGCTAACCATTAAAAAAAAGCCAAATCAGTCATCATGCCGCAAGACTAAAGCTACCCTAGTGCACTGTGTAAGAAAGATAATGCAGTTAACGTTTTCCACTCCTTCCACCCCTGAAACAGGACTGCACTGTTCAGATGATCAGCCTACAGCCTCTCAGCCCCAAATGATTTCAGCTGGGCTCTGCTTTTCTTCCAGAACTATGCAAACAGCTTCTTAACATTGAGTATGTTTTCCTGATGAGTCACCGAAGCTAAGCACTAATGAGGATTATTTTTTTAAAAAACAAAGGTGTCACAAATGTGGTCATTTCAAAAGCTTTCCTAACAGAACCCCTCCTAACCATGTCCCCCAACCCCGAGCCACTGTGCCTCTCTTTCCTTCGAAATCTGCCCTTAAGACGGCAGGCGGTGGTCATTTTTCTCACTTAAAAAGGAGCAAGATGAAAAGCGTTTCCTTTACCTTGGCTCCCGAGGCTGGCCAGAGAAGAGTGTCTTTTCTCCTCCCTCCGCGCGGCTGTGTGCAGGCGAGCTCCGGCGCAGCCCGCCCCGCGCAGCCCAACCCAGCCCAGCAGTAGTAGGAGCTGCCCACGGAGCGGCAGCCGCTGTGTGTATGTGTAGCAGCCGCGCCTGCAGCCCAGGGACTAGTCCCCACCCAGCTTTGTCTTCAGTCAACGTTCTTTTTACAGGAAGCAGCATCTCCCACTTCCTCCTCTCGCTAGCTGTGAGCTGCTTACTTCTTTCCCTCCCCTTCCATGTCAAGGCCCAGGGGAGCCCTCTCCCCTTCTGCAGGGCTGCTGACACCAGGGCTACAAGCCCCTCTCCCCCTTGTGCCAAGGTCCATCTGGTGCTGCCTGTTCCTTCCTGCCTCTTCTCATTCCCTCACCCTCACCTCCATCCCCGATCCCCTTCCCGGCACACAGTCTGCTTTCTTATCCTGAAGATGGGTTTGCTGCTGTTGCTTTAGGGGGTCGACAGCCCCCGGCCAGGTTCCGCCCCTGAGATCCAATACCGGCCTCCGTGGCTCTGCTTGATTTACTGTGGTCCCTATCAAGCCAGCGAGCTGGGAAAGCGCAGCTTCTTGCTGAAGTCTTTTTTTTTTCCCTGTGGCTAACATTCCAGACACTTAATTTCTCCAAGGTCCTGCGACCACTGCGATCTTGCTGAATCCATGTGCTCAGAGAAGAATAGCCCTGGTATGTACTCCTGTGGGGCACAGGAGATGACCCAAGTACTGCAAGGCTACCTGTGGCCTATGAGTGAAGACATATCCCCAAAAGATGCTCAGTGGTGGGAAGGGATGAATGAGGTAGAAACTAATGCTGTATCTTTTCAGCCCAGAAACAGAGTCCTCTTCCCCTTGCCCCACTCTAGTAGGGCTGAAAGGACCCTCATCCTCTTATCCTTTCCCTTCACTTTAGGAGGTGGAGTAGCATTAGGAGTAAGGGTACACAGACCATCCACCAGTATTTGAATCCAAGCTGTCATTTGTGACTGTATGAACTTGGGCAAATTATTTAACTTCTGTGTGATTTCCTCATGTGCAAAATGGAGGTGATGATAGTCCTAACACACAGCAGAAATCTGAGGAGTAAATGAAATGGTGCACAAAATGATAATGATCATTCCTGAAACCTAGGAAGTGTCCAATACATATCAGCTCTTGTTATTTTCAGAGGACACTGATGCTCAGAGACAGTGAGCGACTCGGGCAGTCAGCAGCCCAAACAGGACCAGTTCTTGGTTTCCCGATTGCCCACAGTTGGTATATTCACCACTAAACCTCGATACTCTTGGGTCTCTGAATTTATTCAGCTTTTGAGTCATTCTCCCCAAGAATGAACACAAGGTGCTTTGGGGAAGCTACAGATTAAGTGCAGGCTGAGAGCTGGGGTTGGGGGGATCCTTCTAATTCCCAGGCAACACCGTTGAAAAACCTCTCCTCAAGAATCAGTGCCTGGAAAGCTAATCTTCCTGCGCAAAATAGTTAATTCCCAACTTCACTTTTTAACACAGCCTTAGCCTTCCAGCAAGTAAACTAACAGGAAGTGATGGAAATCTAGGCTAAATGCAGGGTAACTCTATCGTCAGAGAAGTCACCAAGTGAGCCTTCCTAACCTGCCGTGGGGACCACAGCATATCAGCCTGGGAGGTACAGAATTTAATTTCTATGAAATGTTCTGCAGGATCCTACAGTCCCCAGGATACCTTTTGTTTAGATTTGATGTTCCATGAACAGAGTTTGCTTATTTCTTCCTGGAAATATTTTTATCAAAAAGGACCCCGCTGTCAACTCACTAACATCAGAAAACTACAAAATGGATCGTTTCAAGATTTAAAATGAGGAACTGCTTTTGAACCAACAGGAAATAGGATTGTAGTTTTGGGGGAGGACTGGATAAAATTCCCACAGCCTCCTATAACACAAATGAAGATCAGATATGAATTACCTCCCAATCAGGAATCTTGATGTCAAAAGTTATTGGGAGCTTTTAAATGAAAATTTAAATATATTATGACATCAAGTCTAAGAAAAATGAGAAGCGCAATTATAAATGGTTGGAAAGATTATGGAAACAAATCTTTGGTTAATTTTAAACCAGCAGATGCTGGTGTTAACTCTGGATTCAAACTGGTCTTTTTTTTTTTAATCCTCTGTCCCCCTTTCCCTTTCTCACTCACTCTCTCAACCATCAAAGAGTGGCTGGTACTTATCTTTATGTCTACATAGGGACATCTCTTTCTGACAATAAAATCTCTAGGAAGTTGGCCTGCTGCCTTCTGATTGGTTCTTCTATCTCTGGCCTCATAAATCTCTCACTAGGTTACTCTGACCATTGCTGAGAAGTGCCAGCCAACCTCTCTTCAAAATTGAAAACTAGATTTTAAGATCTTCCTCTTCCTGTCTTTACCCTCATTGCTTTTCACTAATTCTAATAGTTGTTTTTCTGGAGAGAAAAGAAAAATGTGGAGGTGTAGACTGGCCAAGAGAAGATTAATCCAGTCCAGAGCTCTTAATGCAAGCATGGTAAGTGGACATACTGAGTCTGCAAAGCGTTCATTTCTTAAGAGATATAATTACATGACACCATTAACAGTTCACACTACCATGAGCCAGTAACCAAACGTGAGCCGGTACATAAGACAAAGGCCTGTAAAGTTCTTCAACATTCATCAGTGGCCCAAATTGTAGGCATCGATACCTTGTACTCACAACCACCTGGTGGAGGAGATGAATGGTAAAAAGGAGGCCATGATCTTGGCCTGATCTCTCTCCTGGATTACTGAGCACTCTAGCTGGATGTGCCTTGGAGTTCTTTAATATCAGCATTCCCCAAATCACACATGTTGCCTCACCCAAAGCTTGGTCCCCTTTCCATAGTCTCCATTGCATTTAGTGAGGAATATAAACCAGTCGCCCAGAGCAGGAATGTAAAAATAACATTACAACCATTGGTCTTTGTTACCGCATGTCTGATTTCGAGTTCCTCATCCTTCATACCCACCAGGAAACTCTCTTTGACCAAACTCCTCCTCTCTACTATCCTCGCCACTGTCTCATTACTGCAGTGCTTTGGTTTTCCCTCTATATTGTAGTAGAGGATTGGATAAAATTCCCCCAGCCTCCTATAGCCTGCAATACTTTCTACTTTGTCCTCCTATAAAGACAGAGTAGAGCTGGGTCTTCCTGGCCCTGTGAGTGCATGGTGCCCTGCCTCAGTCTCCATTTCAGCATTAACTATGTTATTTAATGAGTTGTTACTATGTCCACCTCCCTCCTCAGTATTTGAGCCCCTTAAGGCTAGGGCCATGCTTCATTCATCTTTGCTTGTCACATAGCAGGGAGCTAACAGATGTTTGTATAATGAAAAGACATAGCTGGCAGAAATTCCAAAACTGGTCTTATTTTCCTTTGGGTGCCTGAGGAGTAGGGGAAAAGGAAGTTTCTAATACGAGAAGTTGGTCATGGGATAAGAAACAATAAGCCATCTATTTTTTTTTTCAAATTGTCTGCAGAAAGCCATGATCCATATATACCAAATCGTGAATATTTGTCATATAGGTAACCCTAAAGAATCCTGGGGCAACTCCTCATTCCATTTCTGCACTGAATTGCTTATAAAGAAGCACAGACTGGCAACAAAAAGAAATTTTTAAAATACATTTTAAAAAGAAACAGGAAAAAAGGAAAGAAAGCCATTCCTTACTTGCATTTCCAGATGAACTTTAAAGACTAATTTATAATTTTAAAGAGACTAATTTCATTTTCCCCTTGTACCTGCATTCTCCAGTTTTTGCCACCTCACAGCTGTCCCAGAGCCCCTCCCATGCCAAGTCCTCAAACTCTTCCTCTGATCTCTTTAAATATTGTTCCTCTCTCTCTCCCCCCATTGCCATGCCCAGCTATTTCTTTACTATTTTGATTGACTTGCCTTCTGTGGCTAAGCTCCCCTCCCTACCCCCGCCCCCCGCCCGGCTTCTCTGTCCAGATCTCTTTTTGGGTATCTCTCTGTCCTTCCTTATTCTGTTGCTTCAGAGAGGAGCCAGAAACTGTACCAGCACTGCTGCTTCCTTGAGGGCATGTGTGGGCTGCGCTGGAGAGGGCAGAGTGAAATGGGAATAAGAAGGTGAATTTATATACTAATAAATTCTGTCCACTCATCTACTTTAATGATACATTGGCTTAACTGTTGTGCCAAATAGTAATCAAGAATAAATAAGTGAATCATTGAGCTATTATTTTATCACAGAAAATCTATAATTCCAGGCATTTCTTGGATCAATTAACAGGAATGGAAGTCTCTCTAAGACTGCTTAAAAAAAAAAAGGCATCATAATAATCTGATCTGTGTGTCACAGGATCAGCCCCTCCCCACCAGACATCTGAGCCTACCTCCAGCTGCTAGGAGCCAAGAAGACTGAATCCTACTCTGTTTAAAGAGAGTCCAGGGGCAGGGCGGGCAGAACTCAGCCTTCTCCAGAGAGAGTCGCTGGCCCTCAAAAAATGGGAACTGTCAGTCTCCACTGCACAGCTCAGCACAAAATTAATAGAAAGAGGGGTTTGCTGAGCGATGGTCAGCTCTTCCTTCACAGGGCAAAGCATCAGAAGCATGAGTTCTCCCTTCCCTTTGCCCTGGGCAGGGCTAACAGGGGGGCCGAGTAGACAGTGTGAAGCTCCCCAGATTCTTCCCTGCCACTGCCTGAAATGTCACCCCAATGGAACTCATTTGGGTTGTATATATATGCTGTGTTATGTACTTAAAGCCCTAGGTGGAGGTTGCCATGATGAAAGAGTTCAAGAAACTTGCATTCGTAACAAATACAAGGGTTGAGGAGGGCTAATTATGAAACAGGAGGTCTGGCTGAAGGGGACACCAGGTATGGAGGGAGGCAGGCAGGAGATGGGGGAGGAGGTCAAACCAGAGCTGGAAGTTGGCAAGAAAGAGCCAGAGAGGCCCGGATGTGGATCCAAACAGCTGTGCTCAGGGAGAGTTTGGCCAGTTTAAGTAGGGACAAAGGCTAGACACTCCGTGAGTGGACGCTGCCTGCTTCTTATCTGAAGTTCTAGTCTTCCCATAAGCAGAAAATATTCCAAACCCTCCACCAGTGGAAGGTGGAGCTAGACCGTCCACTTGGGTGATGAAAGAATTGAAGCCAAAGG